TCTATATGAGAGGTCCTATGCATTTTCAAATCACTTTATAAGGGTATTCGATGTTAGATGGCTACGCTGGAATATTTTATTCAAGCTTTCTGACCTATGAAAGTAAGGTACTATGTAGCATGGATGCTGGAATTTTGCTGAATTCTGTTGGATTTGTTACATTTCTTATTTCTGTGGCGTTATAGCTCTGTTGTTATTTTATTATTTCATTTTTTCTTTTTTTTTAGTCAAGTCTCTGATCGACTGTTCTTGTAATGGATAAAATTCCTTTCCTTGTGTATCATATGTGTCATTTTGGGAAACAAAATGTGCATTGCCATGTTCTGAGTGTTAAGTCTGCAGTATTCCTGCTAACTCTTTACGAATGGATATGTTCTTGATACAAATCTCAGATAGTCATATGTAATTGTTGATTGTTGAATTTATTCTACACAATTTTGACAAACGTGATACTTTTTCGACTACTGCTACAGTTGTCCACTGTTCTATTATTGTCTTGGAAAAACTTTAATAAAAAAGAATTGAAAGAGAGTGCTCTGGATTGAGACAAGTACACACTATAGATGGATATACTTTGTTCATATTTCATGTCTGAGGTTTACAACCACTTTAAGTACAAAATAGTCTCCTTGGACTCGAATATACCATTAAAGATCCCAGTCTTTGCCAGGATTGAGGATACATTCCCCTGACCCCGCTACCCCACAAATGTTCAGCCATTCTTGTAGCCTATAACTGTCAGAATTGTTGCTGCCTTTATGAGTTTGTCATTATTAGTCATCACTACGGCTTTATTAGTCCATGGTATTCTATATCATATCCCCATATGGTACCATAAACCTTTTGGCCTTTCTCTTGTACCAGGAAACAGAAATTAGTTCTAGTTATGTTTCTCAATGGTGGATTTGTGGTCAGAGCTAATCACTCGTAGGAAGTCCCGTTTCAGGAAACGTGTGAATACTAATCCCAAAAAACTAAACAAACCTTGCCTTACATTATCCATTATAGGGATTTGCCTCTTGATTCCACTTCCCTCGAAGAAGTAGGTCCATTTTACAAGCTGTTTGTTCGGGAGTCAGGGCGTCTTTGTGTACAGAGCTGAGCTACTTTTGCTGTTGCCCCCCTACCCCTCCCTATATCACAGGAACCCTGAACACTGGGAAGGTAAGCTTTCACTGAGGAATTCATCTTTCAGCAAACTTGTGCCATTTAACATAATTGCAGTCACTGTTCTACTCAATCAGATAGTGCTTCTACTGTTTTCACTGACAATAGGACACATATTCTTTCTGTGACTAGTAGTCAGAAGACTCTGATATTTGCTTGTCCACAGAATAGTCAGGATAATCCCTCTTATTTGGAGCATTCTAAAGATTACTGGAACTATTTCATGCGGTATTCAGTCATTGTTCTGCAGCTTGTTACTAAAGGGGAACAGCCAAACCTCTAGGACAGATTGGAAGAGATGAACGAGCAATGCAAACTAAAAAAAGGAACGATTTCAACAGTGATACCAGTATTTATGCATGCACGGAGGGACTTAAAGTGGAATAAACTCAAAAAACAAATGTCATATATTGCAGAATACCAATCATTAGATGTGGTGGCTGCAGGGTGGATAAAAATCAAAGATTTAAAAAAAAAAAAATTAAAAATCTGATTTTTTTATTTACATCGTATTTTGTTGATTTTTTACCAAATTTATTTTAATAAAATGCTTATGGAGTATAAATCTATCTAAAGATAGTTTTCTATTTAAGATACATTAATAATTTAGTTTATTCAGCATGACATTGAGCTTAGTTATGTAGCATGAGGCTGTATATTCTGCAATATTTACATTTTTGGTAAATTCAGTCAATGAATCCAAGCTCTGCAAGCTGAGATAACATGCACTGCATTGATGCATTCACACGATTTCACAGTAACCATGAGAAATAAAACCTGAAATTAAAGAATCTGAGTAGTTCTCCAACTATGTTTGATTAACCCATTAACCTAAAATCGGTTCTGATATTTCTGTTTTACTAACCTGACAGCTTATTATTCTAAAAAGGAAACCTTCATTTGGTCTGCAAATATTAAAGAATCTAACTACCAGCAAGAATTCCTTACATTTAAAGAGCACCTGTCCTTTTAGGTCCATCATGGCAGCACCTGTTAGCGGGCATCCACTCACCTGTTGCCGCCACGTCCCTCACCTTGTTGTGTCACTGCCGCATCACCAGCCGTCCCATTAAAGTGAATGGGACTGTTGGTGAGTCAACAGCGGGTCAGAAGAGGAGCTGCTGAGGGACAGAGATGACAGGTGCTCCTTAAAAATTATGATTTAAATTGAGCCTTTTCACTAGTGATTTATCTCAACTTGATTTAAATCAAATCCACCCTGGGTGGCTGCATTAGTTTTCTCTTTTTTTAGGCTTTCGTCTCTCTGTTTTTACCTGGTGATGTGGCCAGTAACACACCTCCTGTCTTAGCTCTGGTTCACACTATGCAGTGCGGGACACCGCATGTAATTCGCATAGGAATTGCACCGCATTCCTGTGCCAATTACACGCAAATGTCTGTGCGGTGCGATTTGAGCCATACACTTTGTATGGCTCAAATCGTATCTGCACCAAAAAGATGCAGGACCCTTTTTTAAATCCACACCTGAATCACATCGCATGGGTGTTCTCACCTATGCAATGCAATTTCTGGCAATCACATCGTGTTTTGCGACCAGCTTCGAGGAGTCATTATTTATCATTGACACCCACACCAGATCGCATGAACGCGATGCGATTGCAATGCGGTGTGGGAAACACACAGGATTTGCAGCGTTTCTCCGCACTGCATTGGTGTGAGCTGGATCTTACGGTCTTCACTATAGATATATGAGCAACGCAGACATATTTGAACAGCAGCATTTTCAACCTAAGAAGAATGTATTAAAGCCAAACTCCAGCTAACACTTGCAATTACAGCAACTGTTTTTTATCTTTTGGAAAAAAAGGTTTTACATAAATGAATAAAAGCTGACCATTGTAAGCACCCCTGTCAGTGGTAAATGGTTTGCCTCAGCCCTCCAACTGCTACATCCAGGGCTGCTGTTAGAATCCATGGGGCCCCATACAGCCCCTTAACTGCTACATTGCAGGACAACTTGTTATGTTGAAAAACAACAGATTTGCTGGTGAGATCCTTTCGGGATAAAGGTTTTACATAAATTAATAAACGTTGGTCATTGTAAGCACCCCTGTCAGTGGTAAATGGTTTGTCTCAGCCCTCCAAATGCTACATCTAGGGCTGCTGTTAGAAACCAAGGGGTCCCATACAGCCCTCTAACTGCTACATTTGTAGGTTAGCTTGTTATGTTGGAAAACAAGAGTTGCTGGCGAGATCTTTTTGGGATAAAGGTTTTACATAAATTAATAAAAGCTGATCATTGTAAGTACCCCTGTCAGTGGTAAATAGTTTGTCTCAACCCTCCAACTGCTACATCCTGGGCTGCTGTTAGAAACCACCAGACCCCATACAGCCCTCTAACTGCTACATTTGCACAACAGCTTGTTATGTTGAAAAACAACAGATTTGCTGGCAAGATCCTTTCGGGATAAAGGTTTTACATAAATGAATAAAAGCTGACTTTAGAAGCTGATTGGCTACCATATACAACTGCACGAAATTCTGAATACACTAGATTTAGTAAGTCTACCCATAAATGTAATTTCTGTCTGCTGCCCTGTTCCTCTGATATATGCATGAGTCACTTTTGACAAGTTTTTCTGATACCAAGAGAAAAATGGTGACAGCGGAGGGACCTACAGCACACAGCCTGTGATTGACAGCCTCAGCTCTGTTCCTGTGTGCTGTGTGAAGGGGTTTGTGCCCCTTTCCTCCAATCAGCTCTCAGAACTCTTCTCATTTTGCTCTGCAGTGTTTAATTTCAGCTTTCTCCGCCCTCTGTTTTCCGACAGCTCAGACAAGCTTTATAAATTCTGGACTTTGAACAGATGTAGAGAAAAGAAGACTGCAAATACAACATATGTAGGAGGATTTGTTTAATCTCTGTGTATCACCTGAGCCTAGTAACTTCACTAGGTATATTTAAGGGTGTACAACCACTTTAATACTATGTAAAGTGTATCTAAACCAAAGAAAAACTGCAATTTACCTCTCCACCCCTCACCTCACCCCCTCACTCTCCGCCCGCATCGCCCACCTCCTAAACGACATATCAGACTGGATGTCGCTCCATTTCCTCAAGTTAAATCTTTCCAAAACTGAGCTCCTAGTTTTCCCCCCAGCCCGCGCCCCCCCCATCCTCTCCATCACGACTAACAACGCCACCATCAATCCCACCCCACACGCCAAAATCCTAGGTGTCACCCTGGACTCAAACCTTTCCTTCCAACCTCATGTCCAATCACTATCAAAATCATGCAGGCTCCACCTCCGCAACATCAACATCAAGATATGTATGTTCCTCACCCCAGACACCACTAAACAACTCATTCACTCCCTTATTATCTCACGCCTGGACTACTGCAACTCCCTTCTCACCGGCCTACCCCAACACACGCTATCCCTGCTCCAGTCTATCCTGAACTCAGCGGCTAGACTCATCCACTTCTGCCATCCCCCTCTGCCAATCCCTTCACTGGCTCCCGATTGCCCAACGCATTAAATTCAAATTACTAACTATGACATACAAAGCCATTCATAACGCTGCCCCAAACTACCTCACTGACCTGATACCCAAATACCACCTTACCCGTGCCCTTCGCTCCTCACAAGACCTCCTACTCTCTAGCTCCTACTCTCTAGCTCCCTGGTCTCCTCCTCCCACGCCTGACTGCAGGACTTCTCCAGGACTTCCCCCATCTTCTGGAACTCCCTACCCCAATCCATCAGACTGTCACCTACCCTCCTCACCTTCAGGCGCACCCTGAAAACCCATCTCTTCAGGGAAGCCTACCCCACCCTCAACTTACAGCCGTTCTCCTCCACTCCTCCTACCAGGGGCGGACTGACCATTTGGAAACTCAGGCACTGCCCGAGGGCCCGGGGTCAGTAGGGGGCCCCATGAGATGCCCCTGGTACCTTTTTTCATAGGCTTTTTTGAGTTTGGGCAAGGACACAGGGGCCCCATGATCTCCTATTGCCCGGGGGCCCCATGAGTTGTCAGTCCGCCCCTGCCTCCTACCACTCCATCCCCCACAGCCGCTCCCTCATGTACCTCTACCCCCTCCCTCCTAGATTGTAAGCTCCAAGGAGCAGGGCCCTCAAATCCCTCGTGTATTGTATTGTTACTGTATTGTCTCATGTTCTGTCCCCCACTATAATGTACAGCGCTGAGCAAACCTTTTGGCGCTATATAAACACTGTATAATAATAATAATGTTGCAGTTTACCAGTCCCTGAATGTGCTGGCTGAATTTTTTCTTTTAGTCTTTTTCACCTTTTATTTTTACCTGGTGATCTTTTCAATAGCAAATTTCCTATCCTAGAGTGGCAATGCTTACTTACTGTACAGTATCTGTTTAGGAGAAATATAATCTATCTATTTGTAGCACTACTCCCTTAGGAGTCGCTAGAGATTTGGGTCCCCCTATAGTCCTGCACAGCCAGGCAACACTCAATTCCTTCACACAGACTTACATCCAGGAGACAGTGACCAGTCCTTGAGCTTTGTTTTGACGTTTTATTAGGGGATTGAACTTGGATGGGGTAAGGGGTGTATGGGATGCCCAAAGGTATAGTAACTGAGGACAACTTCCTAGAACTCTGTACAAGTCTATAGTAAAAAATCCTCTTCTTGGAGAGCTAGCCAGCCTCTCTGGATGTACTCCTTTATCTGGCTGCCTGGAGGAATCCCTGGACAGGGGATTCAGTGCCCGTCACTTTAAGTGTAAGACAGTCCTAGGTAGGCAGCTAATCCTGTTCCCCACTAAAGTGCTCCTTTCTCTTACTGGCCTAAGGGGTGTAGGTCTACTCACTCAGTCCTCCGTCTGTTCGCAGATGGGTTTGTGGCTGCTACCAGGCCTTCTAGATGGGCCAGTCCTTCCCTGCTCCACAGGTGCTCCTCTCTCTGGGGGACAATGAGATGCTGAATTTTTTCTCCTTTCCAGCATCCCTGCCTGGAGGTGAGTCCCTTCCCATCTGGGCCCCATCCCAGGCTCCTGCTCTCCAGCCTCACTTCTCCATCTTCCACCCGAACTCTCCTGCTGCTGGCAGGCTCTTTCACTCTTAAGGGCTGTTCTGGCCCTTTGCCAAGCCTCTTTTTTGGGATTGGCCAGGATCCCTTGAGAGTGCTGACTAGCCACTGCTTACCTCTGCCCACTGCTTCTAGAGCTTTCTCCAAAGTTCTAGTGCAGGAGGAAGTCTCAGAGAGCCAGTCTGCAGAGCCTTTCAGCTCTGACCTAAATTTGACTCTGCTAGGTATCACAATCAGGCTGCTACTCAGCACACCTCACTAACAATTAGGCTATAGCTCCCCCTAGCTATCAAGGAGGGAGCTACATATGTTATATTAAAAGACCAAAAATGAAGTAAGTAACAGAAATGATTTATTAGGGTTTGCACTCACGTTGAAGTGTATCTAAAGCCAACATTTTTTTGGCTTTAACTAGAGCATGGAAGGCTTAGATCCCCTGTATGGTTTGTATTTATAACAGGGAAAACTTTTTTACTGGCTGTGTGCCAAGAAAAGAGAGGGAGGGATATATTTTGGAGGATATTACAATCCAAGAAGTAGTCAAAATTTACTATATCAACTAGGAAAGAACATACTGAAAAATTGGACATCTGTGTCATTCCCCCCACATGGGTGCTGTGGCCTCCATAGAGTTCCAGGCAGGGGTGGCCCCAACATCTTTCTTAATTGGTGAAGTCACAATTCCCAGTCGACATTAGTTTTCTGGGTTGGTGACTTTGAAACTAATAGAGGCATTGGATAAGCATGGCAGAGAACTGGCATTTTCATAAGGACAGGTCAACAGAGGCATCCCCCATATTTCATAACTACAGGCTTGCTTTTAAAAAGTATCCTTTAAGAAGAAATAAAATGGGTCCACAATTACATGCTGTCCAAATTGCACACAAATCTGTAAAAATACTGCAAAGGGTATTGTAAAATGAGCATTGAAACCATAAACATCTGGAATTGAAATAATGATTATTGCCATATGTTATTATTTGACACAGAAAACTAAACACGCCCTTAGTCCTAACTATAACCTAAGGTTAAGTTAGCCCATCCACTAAACTCCCATCATCTAAACCTAGATCCCTTCTAAATGAGCTCTTAACCAACCTCCCAAGACTTAACCCTTAACTAACCCTAAAACGTAACCTTCAACCTTATAATAACCCTAAAGCAGGGGTGGGCAACTGTGGCCCTCCAGCTGTTGGTGAACTACAAGTCCCATCATGCCTCTGCCTTTGGGAGTTATGCTTGTAACTGTCAGTTTTGCAATGCCTCATGGGACTTGTTGTTCTACAACAGCTGGAGGGCCACAGTTGCCCAACCCTGTCCTAAAGCACTCCTTGTATAGTCCATCTATTCACTGAGGGCCCTCTCCCCCAATCTGGTATTAAACCCAAAACCAAGAATATAATATATTGCAGTTTACCAATCCTTAGATGTGGTAGCTGCATTAATTTTCTTTTTTTAGTTGTTTTCCCTCTGTTTCAGTGATCTGGCCAGTAACATACCTCCTGTATTAGCATACCCCAACTCTGGATGAAGGAGCACAAGGGGCCCCTTTGGACAGCAGCATTATCAGTCTGGGAGAAGGGGAGTGTTAAATGGACTAACAGATTTTTATATACTAACAAATTGTAGCTGAACACCAGCTAATACTTTATAAGCAGTTACAGCAACAGTTTCTTTTTTCCGTTTGGTATAAAGATTTTACATAAAAGCTAATCATGGTAAGCACCTCTGCCAGTGTTGAATGGTTTGTCTCATCCCTATAACTGATACACCTGAAGGAGAGCTTGTTCTTTTGAAAAATAACAAACTTAATAGCTAGATTACCGAGTGAAAATAGAAGAAAGAAAGCCTAAAAAATGAATGCAGTCATCACATCTAAGAAATAGTGAGCTGCAATATAATGCATGTTTGCTTTTAAATTTGATACCACTTTAATCTGCTGCACAGAAGAAAGTTAGTTGATATACTTACCTATTTCTTTAATTCAATACTTCAGGGGGTGAAAAGATCCCAAGGAATGTTAAGTACCACAAATCTCACCAGACGGCACTACAGCACAGTGCAGTGATTGTCTTTTTGTGAGATTTGAGTTTCTTGGTAGCCCCCAGGATCTCGTCAGAAGGATGGTGGGGCCACCCCTGCCTAGATGCCTTGGGTGGAGGCATGAACATCTTTCTTAACTTTTTCTCCCACATTATTTTTTTACATTTTTTTGCACTGAATTAGGGTGAAGAGGGGCCCTCACTGAATGAGTAACTTTAACCCAAGCTTGAAAATAAACAATTAACCTTAAAACATAACTTAACATTTAACCCTCAACACCTCTTTGTAACCATAAGCATGTTTAAAATGGAAAATATAGCATGTGTCCTCTAGATGGCACTAAGTATCACAGCAAATTCCTAAGATACTTAACACCCTCTAGTGACCAATGGCAGTATTTTCCATTTTCAATCAATGGAAAGCATTTGTTCAGCATAGTTTATAGCCTAATAACATTCATTTTCTTGCTGTGTTCATGCAGAAAGAATGTACATGCATTTTCACTGGGCCAATTGCTATGCAAATCTTAATACATGCACCCCAAAGTTAATTCCATCAAATTGCTACTTATCATCTTTCTGTGTCAGAATTGGAGATGAAAACACTATTCTGGCTCTGCACCAAAAAGTTCCAAAGTACAGTCTTATCTCTGGAGAAGTGGAGATTAGAGAAATGCTTCCTCGTGCATACAGTAGAGCCTAGGCATAGTCACTTGACTGGAAGCAGGGTCGGTGCTAGACTATTTTGCGCCCTAGGCAAGACCAGCTATTTGTACCCCCAAAAAATAAATCAATAAATAAAACATTTTAAAAACAGTAGAAAATATTAAATCAACAAAATATGAAACTGCTAAATTTCTTTTAATTTGCAAAATTAAGTGCCACCAACACCAATATTAAAGACAATATCAGTGTCACAGATGGACTGTATCTGTGGCTGGCAGTGGCAGGGTGACAGTTGCAGTGAGTGGAGGATGATGGATTCACACTCCGACAGATCCCAGGCTGGAATTCCCCAGGCAATGGGGGGAGATAAAACACTGAGACAGCAGGCAGCTGAATTGAGGGATCCCACATAGTGACAGATCCGACACAACACTTCACCATCAACATTGATATAGATCAGCAAGCCCAGAAGGCACTATAAGGGCAGGCTGATGGATCGTGATGATGTCATCACTCACCGACACTTTGCATTACATGTCCGGCCGGCAGGGTCACACTCACACAGACCCAAGACATCAGAGTCAGACATTACTTTTCTCCACAGGCGCAGCTCCACCTTTGCTTATGAATGGGAAGAGAATGGCTGGAACTCCAAAGTGATCAGCAGACACCAGCTGGCTTGCAGTAAGGGACTGAGTCTGAGAGGAACACTGGAAGGACCAGCAGCTCAACTGCTACACTGGCCCCACATACCCAGCATCTTCCTCTATCCTTTCTTTTTCCCCTCTGCCACCCCTCCTCTCAGCTGAAGGATTATTTATTACATGGCAGCATCCCACACAGAGAAAGTTGCCGGCCTGCACTGCTCCCAAGCGCCCGTAGGTGGCAGAGCACCCTAGGCGGCCACCTAGTTTGGCTATTGGAAGCACCGGCCCTGACTGGAAGTCAAACTATGTATTTTAATGATAATAGTTGGAACTTTTTTTTTATAAAAAATGATGCTGTTAGTGTTTATTGTGACATGACAGGAATTCTTTCCCATAGTTACTGAAGAACCACTTTTTGTGAGAAGATACTGTACTGTATATCTGCTGCTAGGTCCACTTTAACTATTCAGTAATTTGGAATAGAAAGCTCAGCATTTGCCAAGTAAGTTACAATCTACTGCTCCCTGCATACTTATTTTTGTGACGCTTGTCAGACTGCACAGGAAGCTAGAGGAATTACATAGTATAGAGATTAGGTGGTCCAACAGAACCCAATGTTTCATTCTCTACAGACACTGTATATTTTTCATGTCACATCCAGTATGATCATTTCGTCCAGTAAAAAAAAAAAAAAAGAGAACATGCTCAAGAATCTATACCCACATATAAATAACAGAAAAATACAATTTCTAATGTTAGCCTGAAAAATATGTTGTTCCTAATTACGGGTTTGGTTTCTGGGAATGTACAGTGAGACCAATGAAAACACAGCTAAGGACCAGTTAGAGAAAAACAGACATTCCCCGAGCTAAATTTGGGAACTGCCTTAAGCCAATTCACTATCATTGCATAATTGCACAATCATTGAATCCATTTAAACAGCCATTGCCTACTTTGCAAAAATGAAATGCAACATGTACAGTGAAAAAGGAAGGTTAATGATGTTATTATTTCTGTGATTTGTCTATTTTACAACAATCTGCATGTGCCACATCCTGTTGATATCATTAAATCTAAAGATTATAGTAGGACTGAATTTAATCAAATGGTTGTGGTGAACTCAAGGAACTCAGTACACCATAACAGCCATAGCTGTTGGTGTTTGGTGATATGTTCCAGTCACTGAGTACACAGTGTCCTGCTCTAACCACAGCTATTTAAAGTAAATCCATTTTTTTGTTTTGCAATGAACAGGGAATGGTTAAAAACCTGGCCAGGTTTTTAATGCCATTTGTGTCCCATTGGGGAATTTTCCCTATACCTCGACAGACACACCACATGACTGGAAATCCCCTTCCACTGGAACAGACTTCCACATTGATAGATTTCCCCTCCATTCCTGTTCATTCCTAGCAGGAACACAGACATAAATAAAATCCTCATGGGTTTAAACCCCTTCCTTCGCCATTGAAAAAAAAAGTTTGGGCTTTAGATACACTTTATTCATACCATTGCCCACTAGGAGTATGGTTTAAGAGGAGATTAAGGGGGGATATGATCAACATGTATAAATACATCAGTGGTTCATATAGTGAACTCGGTGTAGAGTTATTCACCCTGAGGTCATCACAGAGGACAAGGGGGCACTCTTTACATCTGGAGGAAAAGAAATGTAATCTCCAAACACAGAAAGGTTTCTTCACAGTGAGAGCTGTGAAAATGTGGAATAGACTCCCTCAAGAGTTGGTTCTGGCCAGATCAGTGGATTGCTTTAAAAAATGCCTGGATTCTATCTTAGATACACAGAATATAACTGGATACTAACATTTATAGGTAAAGTTGATCCAGGGAATGTCCAATTGCCTCTCGGGGGATCAGGAAGGAATTTATTTTCCCTGAAGGAGCAAATTGGATCATGCTTTGCTGGGTTTTTTTTTCCTTCCTCTGGATCAACTGTGGGTATAGGGTTCTAACTTTTTTTTTCTTAATGATTGAACTGGATGGACGTTTGTCTTTTTTCAGCCAGACTAACTATGTAATGCAGGGGTCCCAAAACCTTCCAAACAAAGGGCCAGTCCACTGCCTTTTACACTTTAGGGGGGCCAGAATGGCCAGTGGAGTAGAAAATGCCCCAGTGTTAGTGGAAGTAAACAATGTCTCAGGCTTGATGCTCAGTGGGAGTAAAAAAAATGACATAGTTCCTTCTTACCAACACGTATGCCAAATCCCTTAAAATATGGAGCCCATGGCTTGCAACCGAAACCCATTGATTTCTTTGGTGAGGCTGGAAGTTGCATAAGATTCCTACTAGTGAACCGGACACCCCTTGCGTCACACCCCCTTCTGTCCTCCCCTCTTTTTTTCCCCCTTCTTTTATCCTGTTATTTCCTTCTCTCTCTTTGCCCAGAAGCCAATTCTTCAATGATGGATTGATGCTGTGTTAGACTTCGAGGTCAATCTGCCATATCGGCCCTGTGGCCACCCCTTCTCTCATTAATTTGCTCTATTGACCATATGTTAATAATAATACCTTGCTGTTTGTATTATTTTTGATATGATCAATATTTTGTTTGCAAAGCTGGTTGTTAGGTTTTTGAGCATCTACCTGTATACTGTATTTGTACCTCTTTCTATGACAAAAATAGAACATTTTGAAAAAAAAAATTACATAGTACCTTTAATCAGTAGAAGGAGGAATAAAGCCCCATTATTATATAATTGGGAGGAATAGTGTCACAATAATGGTATTAGTGGGAAGAATAGTGTCCCTAATTGGTATTTGTGGGAGGAATAGTGCCCCATCATTAGTATTAGTGGGGGGAATAGTGCTTCATCATTGGTATCAGTGGGGGGAATAGTGTCCCTTCATTTGTATCAGTAGGGGGAAAAGCGCCTATTTGTTTATATCAATGGAAGGAATTATGCCCCATTGCTGGTGTCAGTGGGAGGAATAGTATCCCATCATTTGTGACAGTGAAAGGAAAATGCCCCATTGTTGAGGAAGGAATAGTGCTCCAAGGGCTGGATGAAGGCAAGCAAAGGGCCGCAGTTTGAAGACCACTGGCTTAGAGCATAGAACTGGCTACTTCAAGCTTGGGGCCCATTCCTCTGCAGCTCCAGTTTACATGCTTAGAATAGATGCCAATTCTGGAGAAGGGAATTAAAATAGTTGGCAATCATGGGAAAGGGGATTAAAATAGATGGTGAATATGGGAAATATGCTAAAGGTACAGGGAGCAGTAGATTGCATCTCGCTTTCAAATGCTGAGTTGTCTATTCCAAGTTACTGAATACTTAACCAAGGACCAAGCGTCAGATATACTATCTTCCCTCATTAAAATGGACCATTCAATAACATTTTAAGCCTGTGTAAATAAATTCCTGGCATAACACAATAATCAGAGTGGGCGGAGGAATCTACCCCTGTGGTGTCTGAATATCGAAACAGTGATTGCATCTGATGGGATGCGGTTAGTGTTTGGAAGAGAATTTTATGACAGAGCCCACCAAAACTTGAATTTCAACTGATTCAGGAGGAATCAGCTGAAATATGAACTATGTATGGCAAGCTTTAGCAGGTTAAGCAAATGCCTAGCAACTAGGGATTATCAAAAATTGTACAAAAAGCTGTAACCATTAGCGTTCAGCATTTATTGTAGGACAGTTAACTGAAAAACTTCAGTGCCATCAGCCAGCAAAATATTTACATGGATCAGAGATATTAGTTAGGATGGCATATAGAAGCCCTATAAAAATATAATGTCATACTGTGCTGAAGAAAGCATACTGTTTTTGTTGGTGTTGGTCCTCAGTTGCTGAATCAACAGTGGCCCAGGGGACAATTGCTGGACCTTCCTTGATATTTACCTTTTGCACCAAATGCTCTAACCTGTTTGGAGCTGTCCAAAGACATTGAATGATGGATAGACCAAGCATTCATAATGCAGATCTTGAACAATTTACCAAATTAGCACACAGATATATACAGCACAACTCAGAAGGGCAGGTGTGCCATAACCAGGGGCGGACTGACAACTCATGGGGCCCCCAGGCAATAGGGGATCATGGGGCCCCTGTGTCCTTGCCCAAACTCAAAAAAGCCTATGAAAAAGGTACCAGGGGCATCTCATGGGGCCCCCTACTGACCCTGGGTCCTCGGGCACTGCTCGAGTTTCCAAATGGTCTTTCCGCCCCTGGCCATAACTGTTGCTGTAACAATACCCCCCCCAAGAAACTGCTGGAATTTTCTGGCCCCTACTTCCTTCCTAATAGTGACTTGCCCTGTCGTTGCACCAAAACAACTCACACCTATGGCAATTCACAGACAGACTTCAAATGCTTCAATGTTCTTTTATTACCTTTTTTTGGCTCAGTTGTCTAGGGAGAGAAGGTATGGTATACAGGATGTCCCAAAACAGCATAAAAAAAACTCTCAGCACAGTAAAGATCTCAGTGATCCTTTCAGGCCCAAATGGACTACTATCTTCCACAATCTTTCGAGCTCTGTTATAGGCAAGCTATATAATTCTTAATGCCTTTACCACAGGCTAAAGTAGATTCCAAAGACCTGGACAGGTGGCTACCTTTCTGGGGGTTTTTTACGTTTTTTTTGCCATAGGTCAGGTTAGGACCTTTCAGGCCACTCCCACCAGTCAGTTCAGGACACTCTAAGTCCAGATGGGCAAGTAGTAGGACTTAGTTTTTTTAAATTGGCTTTTTTATACATTTTTAATAAGGCAACAATGGTCTACATAAATGATAGATAAGTCCTAGATATGAAGTTGATCATTAAATGGGCACTATAATAAAGGATGGCTCAGATATAGATTGGATTGATTCGGGTGTAGTAGGTGGGGATTTTCTGTGTATAAAGGCGGAGGCGAAGCCAGTGACCTTGCTCCTGATAATGAAATGCATGGGGCAGGGCTTCCAGTGATGTCACTTCCGCTGTTTGAAATGCAGGTGGAATGCAAACCGGTATTCCTGGTTTTCATTTTCTATTGGCATGTATTTTTAATGTGAATGTAAGTGCAATACCACTTTCAAATGATCTTAAAATAAAAATACTACACTATATGTAACTTTCCCTACTTTCTCAATAGTTGCATTGAGGATATGTAAAGGCATTGAGGCATCGCTGAGATATTAAAGGAGAAAGATCCAGAGGTCATCACTTAAAGAGACCAAGGACCACCACTTGATTCACGCATGATATACTGTTGGAAAAGCGCTATTTGACTTCTTATAATTAGAAGTCAGCAACATTTGGTGAGTGTGGTGTGTGCATGTTCTTAAAGGCATGGAATAACGCACATAGATTTGGGCACAACGCATTAATATTTTATGGATTGATGACACAATATAATTTAATGATTTATGCCCAAGAGCACTGTCCTGAAGAACCTTTATCTATAACAAGTAGTGGAACAAAGTAGTGGTTCTGGCTTCCAATCCCAGGCAAAGAGTCATCCTCCCTGGACAGTAGCCTGGGAGGTGAGGACTGGACCCTGTTACACTTTCATCCCCACCAGGCAGAGCCTGGGAAGCAAAGACATTCCACCACTACACCCATATGGAAGAAAAATATATTTGAAATATATTTTAAAATATTATTCCCAAATATATTTATATATATTATTATTATACAGTATTTATATAGCGCCAAAGGGTGTGCTCAGCGCTGTACAGTAGCAAGGGGGACAGAACATGAGACAAGACGGTAACAGTAAAATACACGAGGGGTTCGAGGGCCCTGCTCTTTCGAGCTTACAATCTAGGAGGGAGGGGAAAGTGGTACAGGAGGAAGTGGCTGTGGGGAATGGAGTGGTGGGAGAAGTGGAGGAGATCAGAATGTTAGGTGAGGGTGGGGTAGGCTTCCCTGAAGAGATGGGTTTTCAGGGTGCGCCTGAAGGTGAGAAGGGTAGGTGACAGTCTGATGGATTGGGGTAGGGAGTTCCAGAGGATGGGGGAAGTCCTGGAGAAGTCCTGCAATCGGGCGTGGGAGGAGGAGACCAGGGAGCTAGAGAGTAGGAGGTCCTGTGAGGAGCGAAGGGCACGGGTAGGGTGGTATTTGACATATATGACATATATTTGAAATACTACAATTTTGGCCATATTCAATATATTTTTATATATATATATATATATATATATATATATATATATATACTGTATAATATATATATATATATACATACTGTATGTTGAAATGCGTTTTTATTACAAAATGTATAAAAAATATTTTTAAAAATACATTTCAAATATACTGTATGTCTCTAAAAATACAAATCTACATTTTTGGAATGCATTCACAAATATATGTAATAATATGTGTTAAAATGACTTTTTTATATGTTAAAAAAATCTGAAGAATATATTTAAAAAAATATATTTTTAAAAAGAATTGTCATATATTTTGTAATTTAAAAAATGCACTTCAACATGCAGTATGTGTATATTTGAGTGTTTGTGGTCTGCTTGATTGATGAAGGTGTCACCAAAGGCAATTTCTTTTTTGTTTTGGATAGAGTGGAGTTGGATTACAACACTTGTCAGTTTTTATTGCTGTCTGTGCCCTCTCTATTTGTCCCATTTACTGTTATTATAATCAAAAGCAACAAGTAAAAGAACATTGTTTCAATCAGTTAAGAAAGATAACAAAACAATTCCCCATATAAAAAACTCAGTCTCATCTTCACCTACCCAATGCAGGCATTGGGTTGACATGGCAAAAAAAAAAAATTCGTATCAAAACTGAATTTTATATTAAAACGGCCACCCTGAAAAAACCCTCCTTTACTCTATCCAAACTGCAAACAAAATTGCCTTTAGTCACATGTTAATTGCAAAATCCTCACCTGTCAATTGGCAAGTGCTTTAATGATATACAGACACATTACCCACTTCTCTATATAAATACTACCCATTTATCTAAACATTTCACAATAATCAGCTTGTATATATTAAACGCTTGCTTATGTTTCATCTTTTGTTTATGTTTTTTTCTTGTTATTAATTTATTCCTTTTTAATAGGTACTAATTGTTTAAGAACATATTGGAATTGGGATTTAAAAACAAGATGATCACTAACACATCATATTTGTTGTACTTTTCCCCTTTTATTATTGCATGACTATCAACGTATAGCATTCATTAGTGAAAGTAGAGATATTTGGATTTTTTTATTATATGATAGAGCACGGGTGGGCAACTGTGGCCCTCCAGCTGTTGGTGAACTACAAGTCCTATCATGCCTCTGTCTTTGGGAGTCATACTTGTAACTGTCAGTTTTGCAATGCCTCATGGGACTTGTAGTTCTACAACAGCTGGAGGGCCACAGTTGCCCACCCCTGTGATAGAGCAATATAAGTAGGTACATAATGTATTTGGATATATTCTATGCAACATTGGTAGAAGTGTGTGATGGATGTGATGGTTTACGTTGTACAATTACCCATGATGTGGATTACAATGTTCTCGATCATGAAATTCAATGGTCATCTGCATGTGACCTCCTTTCTGAGCACCAAAATTTGCCATTGACCAATAACATATAGTTCAGCAAACATCACATATTGCCCTTATTTCAAATGTTATTATTATCAGGGGCGGACTGACAACTCATGGGGCCCCCGGGCAATAGGGGATCATGGGGCCCCTGTGTCCTTGCCCACACTCAAAGCACAACCAAAAAAAGCCTATAAAAGGTACCAGGGGAATTTAATGGGGCCCCCTACTGACCCCAGGCCCTCGGGTGGTGGCCGAGTGCACGAATGGTCAGTCCGCCCCTGATTATTATTAATATACAGGATTTATATAAATCTAACATTTTACGCAGTGCTTTACAACATAAGGGCAGGCAGCACAATTACGACAATTTAATACAGCAGGAATTGGAGGGCCCTGCTCATTGGAGCTTACAATCTAAAAGGGAGGGTCAAGAGATACAAAAGGCAATAATTGTGGGGGATGAGCTGATAGAGGAAATAAAAGTACAGTTGTTAGGTAGGGTGAGGGAAGGGTTTTCAGGGAGCATCTAAAAGTGGACAAGGTAGGAGATAGACAGATTGGGGTAGGGCATTCCAGAGGATGGGTGAGGCTCAGGAAAAGTCAAAGAGGTGAGCATGGGAGGAGGTGACAAGGGAGCTAGAGAGCAGGAGGTCTTGGGAGGAATGAAAATAATGATTTGGTTGATATTTTGAGATAAGGTTAGTGATGTAGCTGGGGGCAGAGTTGTGGATAGCTTTGCAAGTTGTTGTTAGTATTTTGAATTTAATTTTCTGGGTGATTGGCAACCAATGGAGAAATTGGCAGAGAAGGGTAGCAGACACTGATTGGTTGGTAAGGCGCATGAGTCAGGCAACAGCATTCATGATAGACTGAATGGGGGATAGCCTATGTAAAGGTGAGCCAATGAGGGAGTTGCAAATTTGCTTTAATTCTCGCCTTTTGCTCAGACTGTCCCAGTTTTGTGACCATGAAGCAAATATACAGTTTACTATTTTTATTTATTTTTTATTGTGGCAGCCATTATGTAAGTAAAAAGTATTACTTCTTGCCATGAAAAGCATGTGATGATAATTTCTTTGTAAAGCTGGTGACTAATTACGATCAACCTATTTAAATTTTGAACAAAATTCTTGTAGCTGGGAAAAGTGAAACAAACAGGTGAACGATTAGATCAAAGTGAAAGCAGCGTAAGGTTGAATCATTAGCTGGAGCTGATGAGGAGCTCATTATACAGGGAACGTTCCAATTAATGGGAGTTTCCGAGGAGCCTGTGATTCTGAAAACTAATCCCGATGGCAGGTCTTCTTACAAGATGTTATTAAATGGGAGCCCAGGGGAAGGAGTATCAGTAGATCACATCCAGTGTAAACGTTATGGGATACCAGATGGCATTATGTGTGTAAATTGACCTACTAGAGGAATGACAGGCAGCCTGATCCTTATCATGGGTACATTATCTTGGAGCTGACTCTCCCATATCTTAGGAGGAAATAAGGAAGAGTCTGTCCCACAGTGCATGCAGTTCATGGTTTTATTTAAATGTACATTTAATAGTTATCTCACATCGACACATCCTGTGTTTACACCAGCAGAGTTGATTCTATTTTCATCATGTGTTGTTTATTCTATAACCAATAACAATTTTCTGTATGAAAGGTACAACAGCATAGCAGCGGAGAAGGAGTTTAGAATTAATTTCAAGTGATGAAATAGAAAACAAAAAGAGAATGTTAAAAATGATAATAAAAATTTGGATGCTATAAAAAAAGGATTTTAATAAAATAATAAAAAATGCATTTTCATTTCTCCTCCTCCACATTATTATTATTCCTGTTTATTAATACTATTTAGACATTTGTAAAAAGAAAAAAAAAAAAAAAAAAAGAGAAAAAGTATTTGCCAATGAAGTTCAAAAGAAAACAGTAACAGCAAAAACATTAAAAATCAGCATATAAATGCCCTCATATTCCTTTTGTACTGAAATGTATTGTAATTGTACTGTCTCCCTTATATTGTAAAGCACTGCGCAAACTGTTGGTGCTGTATAAATCTTGTATAATAATAATAATACAAATAACAAGAATAATAATAATATACCGTGAATAATTCCAAAAACAATAGTAACAAACACAAAAGCAACATTATTATTAGTAATTTTTATTATTATTATTAACAATAATAATAATAGTAGTAATACTACTACTACTACTACTAATGATAATAATAATAATAATATGAAGAAAATGAAGAAAAAGAAGAATTATGCATAAACCACAAAACCAAAATGATATAAAAAAAAATCAATTACACAATTAAATTAACTGTTTAGTACTAGAAAAGACTTTTCTAGTACATTGATCAGTAATTTGCCATCAGAATCAATTAAAATAGAGTATTTAAAAAGCACAGCATGCCTAACACACATGTCAGTGCACGGCACGTTCATACATGCATCGTGGTACCAACAAGCCCTTAAAGCAAATGTTGCGGTGGGAAGAGGGATTCAAAAATGTTCATGTCCTTTATTTTACAGGAGGAGGATTTCCTTGTCAGGATTCGGAGTAACTTTCCACTTGATGTAACCAGAAGTCAGGTTGAGGCTGAGTCTGTGGATCAGATAACAACTACTGACTGCAGCCCTGTCTGCCAGTCTAATTACAATGTGTCAGTGTCTGTACTCGGAGCTGACATAAGACAGTGCAGCACCATCAATATGACAAAATGCAGGATGAGGACTTTCTTAAAAGTACACCATGATTTAAAAGAATTATTCACTTTACGAAAAAAAGTGGGAACTCTCTGTTATCTTAAAAAAACCTGTTCTGAGAGAATTGTGTAGGCTGCTAATGCAAATCTTCTTAAAATGCTAGTTTCCTGGCTGCTCCTGACTTTTGGAGTCACTGATCCCAAGCAAATGAATTCAGAGTTAAGTCAGGACTGCTGTGTAGCAAAAGTGGCAGTTAGGGGTTATAAACTTTAATGATGCTGAGGGGTGCTTACAAAAGTCCACTTTAATTCCAATAAATATGTTTTTTTTTTCTGGCAGTACTGACAGTATGTCTGTTTGTCCTCACCCTTACGGTACTTTCATAATTTCTCCCTGTACTTTCAGAACTCCTACTCTCAAATTCCCTACCAAGACTTCCAAAGTTCCCTGAAACAATACTGATTGTGTCCTCTGGTAAAACGTATATTTGAAGTGGCTAAATCCGTGTCCTATCCCCAGATATTACTGTTCAAAGAGCTAATATACTTACCTTTAAAATTGCAAGACTGCTGCCAACCCTAACTGACCTGACCACTCTCATGATTGCTGCCTGCCTTCGACAGCTACCTGGAACTCATTACTGTCTTGTCTTCCGCCTGCTAAGACCCTTGCCTATACCTAAATACTCTCTTATTTCCTGCTTTGACCCATGCCTGGACCTCACTATTCTCCTGCCTTTCGCCTAGTGTTTAGTCTCCACACCATGGCCATTCTGTACCTGCTATCACCTTTGTGAGGTGATCTTGAGTGCCAGGACCTGGTGACAGTGTTAAATGAAAAAAAAAAACAGGGGCCACTAGGGTCTCAGCCCCTTCTCCACCTTCAGGACTATGATGAAGACCAACTGTCGCTTAGCCCCATACCTCAAGTGAGCCTGGGTAACCTGCAAAGGGACACATACCACTCCCTATTTTGTGGGAAAATGTGGTCTGCATGTAAATGTGGATAACAAATTGAAAGTAAAAAGGAAAGTTATCAAATGGATAAACCAGGTGGCTGTGAATAAAATCGTTCAGAAACAGATCATAAAGCATGCAGAATGGTGTCCTATATATATTTCTGTGGCTAGGGAAGCTAGGGAAGTCCATTGAAATGCATGGGCTGCCCTATACATGGCACTCAGGATGCAGAATGCAGCACGGATAGATGTGAACTACGGGCTCATTCACACCTGAGGTTGGGGAATTGTAAGCCACGTTTTACTACTCCCTACTGCTTCCTTTTTAGCTGTAGTGGCAATAGCCAGGGACGTACACATGCTGTAGCCTTGGCTGGAAATATACCCTCAAGCAGGGGCGAACTAACAACTCATTTGGCCCCCGGGCAATAGGGAATCATGGGGTCCCTGTGTCCTTGCCCACACTCAAAGCACACCAACAAAAGCCTATAAAAGGCCCTCTACTGACCCTGGGCCCTCGGGTAGTGCCTGAGTGCCCGAATGGTCAGTCTGCCCCTGCCCTCAGGTAAATGGGGATGCCCTACAACCCCCTGCAATATGTTGCCTCTGCACTACCTGCTTTAACCCAATAAATGCAGTATCAATAAGCCATAACCGCATGCGATGAACACGGTTGTGGCACAGTGATACTGCATTTAGGAGGTTAAAACAGGTAGTGCAGTGGCAACATATCGCCTGTTCACTGCCTGTCAAATGCCTTTGGGAAGCAACCCAAGCATGGATTGCTTTTCAGAGGGACAGCAGTCTTTGCTGCTATTATGAACGAGCCCTAAAAAGGCACACACACACACACACACACACATACATAAAAAATGCACACATACACACACACAGAAATACACACACACACACACACACACACACAGAAATACACACACACACACACACACACACACACACACATAAAAAAAAAATGCACACATACACACACACACACACACACACACACACACAAAATACACACACACACACATACATAAAAAAAAACACAAAACACACACACACAGAAATACACACACACACACACACACAACATAAAAAATGCACACATACACACACAGAAATACATAAACACACACACACACACACAAAAATGCATACATACAAACATACACACACACAGAAAAACACACACACACATACATAAAAAAAAC